ATGAAAGAAAGACTGTGATTTTCTATTTAGATTTCCATAAGATGAATGACTCTCTTAGGAAGATGCAAAAACATGTGATTGAGCGGTGAGAGTCAAGGCATAAGGCCCAATTTGAGTCGCTAAAGGCCTTAAGTTGAATAGTAGAAGTGGGGGAGAAAAAAATTCTTGAGAGGGATATTGTTTAATGTATCTAAGAACTGAATGAGCTGCTTGGATGTGGAGGGTGGTAGGAGATGACATGAATTGACTTAACTGTTGGACAAAATAACTTTGATCAGGTATTGTTGTGTATAAATAAATTAACCTCCCAATGAGTCGTCTATGTGCAGTGGGATCAATGGGAGAAAATTCATTAGCAACAGAGAATAAATTACAGTCGAAATACACAATAAATTAACCTCTCAATCAAATGATACACAATGAAGTCGAAATACACAATAAAGTCGAAATAAGTTAAAATGAAATACAATTGATGTAAGTTCTGTGATTTTTGGATTGACTACATTTTGGTAAAACAATATGTTGTTAGCAAGATGTTAAACCAGATGTTCTTCCATGATAGTCAAACATCATGTTCTGCATGATGTTGTGACATGTCCCAAGACATGTTATACCAAAAATTTAAGGAATGACTATTTTGGTATTTTTAGTGTGATTTTTGAGTGGGTTCTTATTCACACATGTGCGTTATTCATGGGAGTATATTGTGGGAATTTCTGTTATGACAGATTCTATTAGTTTTCATAAAAATGTTCCTTAAGCCTTTTTAGGAATGTTTGTATTTTATTCCTATTATTGTGTAGGATGATTTGCAGTGAGTTAAAAATGATTGCGGCTATTTGTGAACTTCAAAAGCCCAAGTACATTAGGTTTGAAGGCTATTTAAAGTGAAGACCTCTAACCCTATTGAAAAAAGAACAACACATGAAGAATTTGAAGAATAAGGATTAACCGTGTTTTTGTTGGTCTTTAGGGTTTAGTGCTTGTTAATTGTATGTCACTCATATATCTTCTGACTCATTGAGGTAGACTGATTGTTTATTGGTAATTGTCCACTCTTAAGCTTTTAAGTAAGAGTGTATTGTTCCTTGTTGAAGCTTTTAAGAAAAACCAAGTATTGTCTTGGAAGTGTGCTACTTCTATTGTTGGTTGTTGTTGAATTGTCATTGGGACTGTGATTGATTAGGAAGTGAGAGGGGGGTCTCATATCTGGAAGATTTCTAGGTAGAAGTTGCACAAGGTAGGGATTAGGCGAGAAGTTGTAAACGGGAGAGTTTAACTTTGAACTAATACTATCATAGTGAATTTCTTTCCTGGCTTGGTAGCCCCCAGATGTAGGTGAGTTGCACCGAACTGGGTTAACAACTACTGGTGTTATTTTTATTTTTCTGTCATTTAAATCTCAGCATTTTTTTGTGTGTTCAAGCTGTTTTGATCCCGATGTTGTAACATATGTCTCGACATCTGGTATTTGTGTGCCAGAATTTCAATTGATAATAAATTCAAAGTACAAATATTATCAACTACTGCACATGCCGAATTAGAGCTCATCGGCCTCCTCTCCCCCTCCCCCCCCCCCCCCTCCCTCATCCTCTAATGTTATCTCTAGTACATAAGTTCCTCCCGTGCCTCTGTCATAATGGCATCTAGAACCTGTCTCACGTCAGAACCATTAGGAGAGATACCTTTATCAATTTCATCCTGCACAATCTCCACAATGTGACGACATCTAGGAAATATATCATGTGCATGATCTAATAGTTCCTAGTCCTCCTTTAGTACTCCTGATGAGCAAACCTCGGTGGATTTCCTAGAGAAGCCTGCACTATATACAAATGTGACACCTTGAAGAACCACCTGATGTACTCGTCAACATAGCTCAAGTCGCTCTCATCTATGGTAATTTGTACCTCCTCCAGCACCAGATGACTAAGATAATCATCAAACATGACACTCATATCTCTACGCGCCATAGCAGGAGGAGTAGTGACGGCAGGGTGTCTATGAATAGTTTGAGTGTAGCCGAATTGCCTCATGACGCACTCAGGTAGATAAGGAAATGTCATATGTGAACCGCAAGCCAATTGTCCCGAATATAACACTATGTCGTCAAACGGCTGTGTTTAACAGTGATCGATATAGCTATTAAAGTGAATATCCTCGACTACAAAGCAGTCAAGATACACTCGAAACAACTTTGTGAGCAGGGAAAATATAAAAGCATGCGACATATCCTCAGTATAAGTTGGTACACCCGACCAACCGGATATGCGCGGGAAGTGTTAGAGGATGCAAGCCTGAAAAGTTTTGGAACACATGAATCACCAGTTAGGGCATTGCAAACATGTAATGAAAATGACATAGAAACACTTAAAAAAACCAATAAATATTACCATCAGAAGTGTGATGTTGCCTGTCACCTACTTCGTCTTCCACCTACAGCCCTCGGATAACCTAGAGTACAAGTAGAGCAAACATGCGGCCTCCTAGTTATACTCATGGATCCACTCAAAGTCCTCTAAGTACCGTAGGTATACGACATCCACATAAGTGTCACTCTTGTCCATAAAGATAACAGTGCCAACCAAATAAAACAGGTAGGCTCGCATATCATACGCTCTATGCAACCCCACCTGCTTGTCATCACCTCTAGCCTGCTCTGCTCTATGGAGCTCATTTGTATATACTTTTTTCAGGAATTCAAATCTAGCATGAGCCGCTCTAATTTTTTTCATCTCCCTCAAGGTAACCTCTGGGTCAGCTCCCAAACAGTCTACCATCAACTTGAGTGTCTCATCTTTGCTAATACTGCAATGATATAGATTTTTCCCTCCTAATTGGAAGATGCAACAAACATGATACATCGTCCAGTGTGATAGACATCTCACCAAGTGGTAGATGAAATAATAAGGTCTCAGTGTGCCATCTTTCCACGAATGCATTAAACATCTCGTGGTTGACCATAACATAATCGATCTTGCACAAATTCTTCATCCCAATTAGGGACAAAGCAGCCTGAAACAACTCATCATTAGGCTGAGGTAAGGCAATAACCTTCCGCCCATGTCTACTGAATTTCAGCAGATCACGATCCTGTGAAAAATAAATCTATGTCACAAACTTGTAATATAATAATAAACGTAATTTAAAAAGAATGAATCAAACTAATTTTACCTCTTGTTCTAGTTATGTTCGGTAGTATGGTCCGGATAAAGAAGCAACAATGACAACTCTATAAGGTCTCCTTCAAATACCTGAGGTGGTGCTGGCTCATCAACCTCAGCAACCTGAGATTGCACCGGCTCATTAGTCTGAGGTGGCATTAGTTCATCAACATGTGGTCCCTCCGGTGCTTGAGGAGGCACTGGTGCCATAGGTACCTCCGCTGACTCGGATACCTCTAGCATCTGAATAGGTGAAACCAGTCGCAGGATGATAAAGGCAGTGATGCGTCAGTTGGTGGCACATGTCTCCTAAATGAAGAAAAAGGTGGAGATACATGAGCTCCAAAAGGCGATGTCTCCGCATGAACCGGACTAGAGGGAATATGAGCCTCTAAAACCTGATTATTTTCCCTTCTAACATATATGTATGTTGTGCAATCCTCCTGTGCCTCAGTCTGCCATCTCTATCAGTCATAATGCATGTAAGTAAACTAAATAAGTGTCACACGATTACTACAAGCAACCCTATAAGCAAGAAAAAAATCAGATGCATAAATTACGGAGATGCATCTCCGATTCTTAAAAATTCAAACGTTGAAAAATTTCAGAGATGCATCTCTAGAATCTCCTACAACATCAATTTCGTCAATGATGGTAATGCAGACCGCCAAACCCCTAAAAATAATGCATTTATCAATATTTTCAACCAACAAACACGTTTTTCAATATGTATAAACTATTAATCATGGAAAAACTATCTATTTCTTAACCTAATCATCAATTTCTACTATTTTGTACAAAAACTCGAAAATTTTCACAAAATTCAAAATTTTACAAATTATGAGTTTACGATCTCTTTGATCATGTACTTGGTGTTCATGGAAGAAATTTTGAGTTTGGTTGATTGATTTTGAGATAATGTGAGTTGATAGAGTTTGAGAAATGTTTAGAGTTGTTTTTTTTAAGTGAGGAAGGAGAAGGAATTCTTGTGTGTTTTAGAACATATATCGTTCATAAATGTATCTCTAAAATATTTATGAAGATACATCTCCATAATTTTTTAAATGCTAAGTTAGAGATCTATTGACTCATGATACATCCAGAGATACATCTCTGAAAACTAAATATTTTTGTATTTTCATATAGTAGCCTAATAATATATAAAGTGCATTAAAAAATTTCCTAACAATTGGTCTATTTCTCCCGTAAAGTACATTATACATTCAACATTCATTTCCGGTCTTTCTCATGGCTTTAATAATTCTGAAAAAAGTTGTATCTTCCTCAAATTTGAACAATAATTCTGAAAAAATTGTATCTTCCTCAAATTTGAACTACACCAAAAATTAAAAATATCATATTCATTAATAAATCTCTTCCTCAAATATTTTTTTCTAACAATAAAATATAAATCACAAATATTACTTTAGATTATGCCATTTAACAAATCTTCCAATTAATTAATAATCAAAACCAAATCAACAACATATTCATAATAAAAAAATATTTAAAGCAATTTCATTCCATGTAATTTGGAATGAGAAATAAACCATGAAACAATAAATTATAACTCATAAATAACTCTGATTTAAAAACTTTTCCTCATCAACATCTTCAATAGCCAAGTATCCCACTCTTTCAAATCACAATCCTTCACAAATTCAAATATAACAGATCTTGCAATGAAACTTTATTTCTAACCCCTGGACAACATAAGTAATTAATAAATATAATTACAAATCAAAATATACAATATAAAAATTTCTAAAATTATTATCAAATGAAAAAAAAAAGGTACAAGATGGTAAAAAATAACAGGAAACAAATAAACTACCTTCAAATGTCTTTTTCTAGAGAGAAAATAGTAACTTTGAAAGAAATTTTTCCTTTACTTTTGTTCAGTATAAGACCACAAACATCGCCAAAATTTAGATTATTATGAGCACGAAACTTACTCCAACCACCACTTAGTATATACTTATCATTTGAAGTGAGTCTCAAATCGACAATCCATCTTTTCTTAGGGTTAACAAAAAGAGTAACATTTCTTCCTTGTAATCCATGCAAAAATTTCCTACCAAAATCATATGGTATGCCCTAAACACAAAATAGTAAAATGAGTGCAATTTCTAACTTTAAAATAAATAATTACTAAAAAACAATCAAACAATAAAGTTTGTTACCAACAGATCTCTTTCCATAGATGTCTTTTGGATCATGCATATGAAGAAGTCCTTGTTAGACTGAAATGTGTTCTTCACCTTGTCATACAAAACCCTACTTTTCTCCTTCAAATCTTCTTAAATAGTTCAATAGAAAAAAAAAATTAAAAAACTAAGTAACAAGTTTCATAAGATAATACCAAAAAACTAACGTAACAAAATGATGGAATAAAATTTACCATTGTTGACATCGTCCACATCTATAATATTATGAGATCTTCCATTCTTTTGGATTTTTCTCTTGTCTTGATTTGATTCTTTTTGTTCTTTTGGGGTGGTTTTTCTCTTTTTAAAAACTTGTAAAGATTTTAGTCTTTCACGGTGCTTTGGTGAAGGATCTTCAATAATTTGCAAAGAATTTTCGCTCGCTTCAATCTCAATAGATTCACCATTAATCTTCAGTGAAGGATATTTGATTTCTAATCCATTTTTACCGAATACAATCACATTAAAGAGAGAATTTTCTTGATATTGAAAGACCAAAAGTTGGGAATCACCCATGGATAAATAATTTGCAAATTCTTTCCAACCATTGCAAAACAAAACATCATAATCACTATTTTTCTCCCAAAAAATTTTGCTTTCAAACATGTTTGGTAGCCTTAGGGTGACTGGGTTTTCTATTCCTTTCCAGTACCTTCTCACAAAACTTATAGGAACTCTCTGATACATACATAAACAATGCAACATTAACACAAGAGTCTTATTTTATAATAAATTATTTTCTTATTAAAAAGACATTGTATTATAAGTATGGATTTTCCTAAGAAACATATTTAAATAAAAAATAACAAAGACTGTTACCATTTTTTCTTCTTGGAGGGTACTTTCAACAATAATCTTGAAAAAGTGGACACCATTATTCCAATGATCAAGCTCTTCAAAAGACATGATTGTAACTTTTCTGAAGAACCAAAATAGGGTTTTAAGGAAGAAGAAAGAAGGAATATAAAACAGATACACTGTTGCAAATAAACAGATATAATCTAGAAAAACGTTATTATATATATTTATGGGATATAATATAAAAAGAATATTTTGATTATATTTGTCAATTGATTTATTATATAGTTGGGTGATTTTATTTTATATTAATTTAACTTTAAATAATATTGGATCCTATTTTTAAAGAGCAATTAGGATGATTTTAGTTGCTAAAATTAAATTTATTTAAGAAGACAATTTTTTACTCATTTTTTATTCTCTATTTTTTATGTTAATTTGTTTAGGTAAGTAAATTTTAGCTGTAGGAGTATTTTGTTTTGTTTTATGTCAAGAAGTCTTTAAAAACTAATTATTTTACTCGCTTTCTTGTGAATAAAATTTTTAAAATAATTAAAAGTTTTAAACTTTAATTTGATATTAATTATTTTTTAATCGTATAACATTGTTAATATTAATTATATTATTTCCAATTCAATATTTGACATTTCAAAAAACATATTATTCTTTTTTTTAATTATATATTTTTCTAAAATTATATATAACTAAAATATTTACTTTTATATTTAGAATAAGTAATATGTTTTTATTAAAAATGTAATGCTAGCCTTTATTACTGTTACTATTCACCAGGTTGATAGCTGACATGCTATAGATCTTCATGGTAATTGCTCCATGACTCTGCGTTGTAATTTCTTCGACCAGTTTCACCATCCACTTTACTTGACATGCACAGAGAAAAGCAGTTATGTACTCTGCTTCGCACGAAGATAATGCCACTATTGGCTCCTTTCTAGAACTCCAAGCAACTGGTGCACCACCTAGCATAAACACAGAACCAACTGTGAATTTTCTATCCTTAACACCACTGCATCAACTTGAGTCGGTGTATCCCACTAACTTGCATTATTTTCCTTCTGCAACTGCTAGAAACAAAATGTCATAGTCGAGAGTTCCTTTGAGATACCTTAGTATCCTCTTCGTCACTGCTAGGTGTGATGCCTTTAACTTCTGCATGAATCTACGCACCATGCCTACACTGTATGATAGATCAGACTAAAGGTGTGAAAAGTACACAAGAAGGGAGGTTGAATTGTGTTTCACATTCTCTTTTAGTTTAACTTCTAATCAGAGTTTCAGAATTAGAATTGATATTCAGATTCTGAATTAATTCGTTGGCAGCGGATATAACAAAAGTAAATAAAATAACAGCGAAAGACACAAAATGTATATAATAGTTCCTTCTCTAACTGAGACTAGTCTCGTCCCCCTACCTCACAAGAGAATTTCATTATAACCACTTCATGATTACAATCGCTTATGCTTCTGCATAAGACTTTTACAATTGCTCTGACCAACTGTCTAGGACTTCCCTTGCTTAGAGCACATGTCTAAGATTTCACCTTTGCTCATACCATCTAACTGAGTCACTTGCTCCACTGTCTTCTAGTTGAGACTTCCCCTTTGCTTAGAGCACATGTTTAAGAATTCTCTTGCTCACATTCTCTAGCCGAGCCACCTGCTCTTCTGGCCATCCAGACTGAGATTTCCTTTGCTCAAGCTATGCTCGAGACTTCTTGCTTACACCCCTTAGACGGAGACTTCCTCTTGCTCAATCAGACTAGCTGAATAAGACTTTCACGGCTCAAGCACTTAAGCAATGAGACTTACGTGGCTTAAGCATCTTGACTCAAAACTTGTTGCTTGAATCCCAATGAGACGAGACTTATGCTCAAGCACATAGCAAGAGACTTGATCTAAACTACTAAAGGCTCAGCAGAATAGAGAAAAAGGTGTACATGATACAAGTATCATAGGTATGGGAAATCACCATAACGAAGACCTTAAGATCTTAAGATTTCTAAGATATACAATGGTAAGAAATCTTAAGGCTTTTACAATTACAACCTAAAATAGAAAATCTGCATATTATAATAGAGTTGATAAATTGATTGATCCTGCTACTCCTTCATCTGAAGAATCCTTGTTAAGATTCAAACTTGAATCTTCAGCCATATTTATAGCCTTTGCAGAAACTAGTCGTTGAAAGAGGTAACTTGATCAAGTGTCTTTGTCTTTACTCCATAGTACAAGAGACGTTGAAGATGGATGCACAGCAGATTCTGAATCCAGTGTGTAACATGTTTAACCTTTGAGTCTTCAAGAGGTTCTGTTCTTATAGAGCCGTTGAGAGAAGATATCCGTAGAGCATGCCAACCTTTCTTGAGCCTTGTAATCTTGTAGACTCTAGTTGACAAGTTGATAACACAATACAACTTGATTTCTGCAGTATGGGCAACCACAACTTTATCATCAACTATGAATGGTATCAGATGATGATAAACAATTACCAAGTGAAGTAACTCGTCTGAATGTTGAGGCCTTCAGCTCAGAGTCTGCGCCAAGCCACACTAGCAATTGTTCTTCAAACTCTGTCACTAGAAGCTAGCAATGAAGTAACTCCCAAGTGTGTTCATGTAACACAGATTCTGATTATTTATATACAATGATGTAGAACCTGTATAAATAAAACACACATCAAATAAACCAGTGTTCTTTCAATACTTTTGTTATCATCAAATAAACCATTATTTATATTTAATGAGGTAACAATCTCCATTTTTTTTATTATGATAAACACAAGTATTTAAAGGACAGTGTTGGGCATTTAATTTTCTTTGCAACAACAAGGTATAAGGTTTGTAAGCCCACCTGAGTCTGATAGTCCACATCTGAGTTCTATTGACTCTAACACCAAGAATTATTTTTCAAGAAAAAATAAATAAGTCTTCTTAGTAACATCAGGGTCTGAGGTTTGCAAGCTCCCCCTAAGTCAAACAATTCCAAGGTTGAGGTTTGTAAGCTCCCCCTTAATTTCATATTTAAGAAAAACAAAATAAAAATATTTTAACTTCCTTTGGCAACATTAGAATACGAGGTTTATAAGCTCTTTCTGAGTCTAAATAGGCTAAGTCTGAGGTTTGTAAGCTCTTACTTAACACTATGTACAAGAGAGTTAAAATGTGTTGCTCTTTTAACTTTCTTTGGCAACACAAGAATACGAGGTTTGCAAGCTCCTTATGAGTCTGATAGGCTAAGTCTGAGGTTTGTAAGCTTTTCCTTCGACCTATATACAAGAATGTTAAAATACGCCCTGGGCAAGGTAACCATAAAAGTAGAAAATAAATTACTAATATGTACATTTGAATAGGTACTCAAAGATTTCAGTTTCCACTTAAATACTTACAATTATTTCTCCCCCTTTTGTCACATAAAAAAGAATAAAAAGAAAAGAAAAGAAGAAGAAAAATATCACTAATAAGTGTATCTCAGATCATCATTACAAAATCAGTTTCCAAGAAGGAAAAGTAATAAAGTAATAAGAATCATTAAGGTTTGTATAGTGCATTCTTTAAAGTCTTAGTTCTCGTTCCAAGAATTAAGCAAGGATTAATTACTGACTCTTGGTATACACATAAGCCATTATAAAAGCACCCAACTCCTAAATCAATTTCATCAACATCTTCCTAGAGATATGGAGTCATCAACTGAGAGTCATAAAATATCCTTCATAATAGATGTTACAAAGAGCTCTGGGAGTTTAGAAGTCCAATCTCCTCATAGGAGAGTTGCTTATGAATCTTCTACGACTGAGCCTTTTCCCTAAGCAACACTTACTTCTGAATAGGCAACTTCAACAGTACCGGAACAACCTTCAGAAGGAGGTTCTTCAGTAGCAGCTCTGAAGCCAAAGAGAATAGGTGTGAAGAGGTCAAAGAAGAAAAGAAGGGCCAACAAGCGGTTTTACCACTCACTCCCAGTCATAGATGAGGAAGAATAAGTTGATTATGAAGACGAAGAAGTGGATTATGGCAACAGTGGACGTCGTTAGGCACGAGATGCTCTAGCTAGGGATCTTTACTAGAAACATCTTGTCCCATTTTTTTAAAAATATTTTTGTAATCCAACATCTTAATGTTAATGAAATAGCTATTTTGACCAAGAACTCTTCAGCATGCAAGTACATTCTAGTAACTTTTCTTTAGATTTTCTAAAAGTACATTAACAAAGTAAAACTGACACAAAAACACCAGTTAAAACAAATCAAACATTAACGCATAGCTATTCATAGAATCTTAACTAGGTTAGACTGCTAGATAACATTTCCAAGAGTCGTTATTAGTCTTTCATAGATAGCTTCAAACTTGTCTCTCCAAATCTTGAAAGAACTAGCCTCAGAACTTATGTTAACCCCTTGCTGAATAAGTATTTCAGAAATAACTCGTCCTTAAAGAATGGAGAAAGTATTTCCCTTTTGAAAAGAAGAAAGAGACCTCTTCAGATGGTCAAACAAAACTTGAGGAAGATCAATCTTCAAATCTGAATTAAGAAGTAGAAGCATATCTTTTTCAATAGGGTCCACTTTGTCTAAATCCTTATCCTTAGGAAGTAAGTTTGAATTCATAATCTGATTCCAAATAACAACATTAGGAATAAGATTTAAGACCTATGATGTATTAGATGGATCTACAAAGATACGCCAAGTAGGAAGATAGTGTTCCCAAACAAGAGTTCCTGGGATTTCTCCAATTTCCTCATAATTGATCACATTTCCAATCGCTTTAGAGGATACTGTAATAGAACACCAGTTACTCTAGACATAATAGCATACTCAAAATTCAGCTAAACAATGGAGGCATTAATCTAAAACTCTTTGACAAGACTTGGATAAGTGAAACCACAGAGCATCTCAAAGTAGCCATTCCATCCTTGTTTAGATACAGTCTTCCAGAAGTTGAAACCCATCTTAAGCAAATCATCAAAATCCACAAACTTTTCATTTATGATAACCAGCTGATTAGTACACAAAGGAGAATTAACTAAAGAACTCATCTCAAGTTTGGTTTGATTAGTACACAAACAAGAAGAAAAGAAGAAGAAGAAGAAGA